ATATACAATTCTATATATAATCATGTATGATTATATATAAAGCATATATAATTATATATAATTGTATATGGAATTATATATAATCCTGCATGGTTGTATATTGCTCCATATATAGTCATATATAATCATGTATGATTATATATGATTATATATGATTATATATAATTCTATATAATTATATATGTGATTCCATATATAATCATATATGATTATATACAATTATATATGATTATATACAAACATTTTTTCTCGGGTTTATAATGAATTATTTGTAATTCATTATTATTTATTTATTTATTTATTCATTCATACGCCAATCGGCTTTATACATTAGATTTACATCAATTATTTTTGGTTATGGGTGAAAAAAGAAAATAAAAATAAAAATATGTAAATAGAGTATTAACATTTCAATAGAATTAAATTTAAATTAAGTTGTATTAAATCAATTTCATTTACTTTATAAGTTTAAATTATTAATATTATATAAAAAAAAAAAATATCTCTAAGAGTAGTTATTTCTAGATGAAATGAAATTGCACTTTTTAAGAGGCTATTGGTTAGTGGTTAGAAGCAGTCTTTTAACCGATGATACAAACGATGTGATCGAGGTGTCGAATAATTCAAGGTGCGAGCAATTATCATTGATTAGATTAGCGATCCTATTCCTCGGGCTATTATATATATATAACTTTTGGTAGTTTTAATTGTCTCTATTAATTGATTTGCTCTTAAGTTTGATGTTGGACAGATGATTCCTACTTTCTCTCGGATCTCTGGGGAGTCGATGTGTCCGTTAATAATTTTGAAAGCAAAAATTAAGTCCGATATTTGTCTTCTCTGGGAAAGCTTGTTGATCTGGAAGTTACTGTATGCTTCCTGAACTGTAGACAAAAACGTACGATTTGCAAGATGCTTGCACAGTTTGTATTGTATTCTTTCTAGTCTATTAGTAGCTTGTGTCGTACTTGGTGACCAGATTACAGTGCAATATTCTAAAATCGGTCTGACCAGGGTATTGAATAGAAGTATTAATGTTCTTTCGTTCTTGAAGTCTTTGCCTGATCTGATTATATACCCTAGAATTTTATACGCCTTTGATACTGTTTTGTCTACGTGCTCATTGAAGCTTAACTTGATGTCAACCAGCACACCTAAGTCTTTCATGACAGGAGGTTTAGGTAATGGCTGGCCATTTATATTGTAGTCGACCGGGAAGCTTCCATGGGATCTATTAAACATCATAACAGCGCATTTATCGATGTTTAACTTTAACTTATTTTCTAGGCACCATTGATAGAGCTTATCCAGATCTTGTTGTAATACTCTTATATCATTCTCCGTATTTATTTTTCGATATATCTTCATGTCGTCTGCATACAGAAGATATTCAGAGCTTAAATTATCTGCAATATCATTGATAAATATATTAAATAGAACCGGACCTAGGTGCGAACCTTGAGGAACTCCAGAGTTGACCTCATATTCCTTCGAGTAGTAGCCATTGACCCTCACTTGGAGACTCCTTCCAGTTAAATAAGATTGAAACCAGTTCAAGGCTTTACCAGTCACCCCGTGACATTTCAGCTTCTCTACTAGAATATCGTGATTGACTGTATCAAACGCTTTACTGAAATCAGTATACAGTGCGTGGACGCTGAACCCATGGTTCAGGGCGTTATATATGTAATCAGTGTAGATGTAGAGATTTGTTGTAGTAGACCTGCCACTTATGAAGCCATGCTGTCTAGTTGAGATAATATTTTTGAATGCAGATATTAACTGAGGGAGTACAAGTTTCTCGAAGAGTTTTGCCAAAGATGATTGTATACAGACTGGATGGTAGTTAATGATACTGGACTTGGATCCAGATTTGTATATTGGGCAGATATATGATAATTTCCATTCACTTGGGAAGACTCCTTCTTCGACGGATTTGTGAAAAATATGAGTTATTGGTTCACAAAGTCCTATTGCACAATTCTTGAGAAAGAGGTTAGGTATTCCGTCTGGGCCAGCCCCCTTTTTATCATTAAGTTTCTTCATGACTTTAAGCACGTCATCATAGCGTACCTCCAACTGAAATAGATTTGCGTCATAATCAGTAGGCAGCTTTTTTACCTGATTTACCGAGCTGTCATGTGTCCCCATGTACATACTTTTGAAATATGAAGCAAATAAATTGCTTACCTCCTCACCAGTGTTGGCTGTATTTTCACTCCAATTCATCGTACTAGGTATATTTGAGTCCTTGCGCCTCTTACTCTTCACAAAATTCCAGAACTGGGTAGTGTCCTCATGGATTAGATTTTCCATGCGAGTGACATAGTTGTTGTAACAGATGATGCTCAAACTCTTGCATTCTTTTCTTATATTCTGGAACTCCTTATACGTATGGTAGCTCCTATACTTTTTGTAATTCTTATGAACTTGTTTTTCTAATTTAATTTTCCTTATGAGCTCTTTAGAGAACCAACGTGGATATTCACTTCGATTATTAGTGTACACTGGAACATGCTCTGAAATGCCTAACTTTATTTTCTTGTAAAACCATAATAACTTTTCATCCACTGTTTTTATGTTATACAATTCTAACCAGTTAGTGTTTAAGAAAAAGTCGTTGAGTGCAATATAGTTGGCTTTTTTAAAGCAGTATTGAGGTTCTTTAAACAACTTCATACTGGCTGTGCAAGATACATGAATAGATAAAGCTGGATGATAAACATCCTCTTCAAGGATAGGATCAGTTCTCTATTAAAACTTCAGAATTACTAAAGCAGAGATCTAAGAGACGACCTTTGTTGTTAAAGATGTTGTTCATTTGGTTACAGCCTAGTAGTAACATCTCATTGAAAGTCACTTCTTTACATACAGCGGGTGGGTAGCTATTTGGGATATTGTAGTCACCTATTATTATAATTTTTGCATTTGGATAAATGTTATTTATGTAATGAATTGTGTCCAAGTGGTCCTTAAAGATCTCCACCGTTGACTGGGGTGGTAAATACACACAGCCAATAATAATAACCTCACCGTTAGATTCTTTAATTTTTATAAAAACTTGCTCTATATTGTGTTTATTCAGTGGTACCAGTTCAGCCGTGATATTGCGATGTACTGCTATCAATACACCACCACCGCGTGCGAATTTACTAGTCTGACTGTCTCTATCTTTCCTAAACAACTTAAAAGTATCTTCTACTACTTCACCATTCGAAATAGTTGAGTTTAACCAACTTTCACTTACACAGTAAATCACATCACTATCACTAGAAATCGAGGTTAAGAATTTTTTGAGTTTTGTTTTTAAACCTCTATGTTAGAACCTAAACCAAATGTTAGAACATTTTGGTAAAATATCTGAAGATTATGTGTCTTTAGGCTTCTCTTTTGTCTTTGTTTGACGAAAAAAACGCTTATCGACTATTTTAGGTGCTCCATTGATGTATTTAATTGTTTTATTATTATCACCATTATCAATTATATTATGTAGTTCAGATCTAACCCCTCTGAGTTGTTTTTGCTGACCTGGTGTTAGGTAACGTTTAAAAATAATCCCTGATCCTTTCGGTGGTTGTGATCGTAGAATCAATCTCGCCTCTTGAGAAGTTGTTGTTTCTACAAGGAGCGGTCGAGTTTTTCCAGTGGCTGTTTTTCCTAGACGACGTAGTTTGAATTTTGGTGCTGCAGTACTTAGCTCCTCCGGTAGTAAAGGGACTATTTATTTGCGGTCGTCCTCTAAACGATCAATTCCAACTGGTTTTGCTGACTCTGGTACATTCAAAACCACGACCTTGGTTTCATTTTTTGTCTTTCCACAATTTCAGCGATAATGTCATCAGATGATAGTGACTGCCCTTCGGTGCTGAGTTTTTTTTCCACGTCGGTAATCCGTTTATCTAGTTGTACAAAATGTTTACTAGTTGATTTACCGCCCTCAGCTAACTTATTCATGTCTAATCTAATACTTTGGATGCTGGACTCCAGTGCACTGATTTTCTCAGAAAAAGGTGCCAAGTATTTTTTGAAAAGTTCTTCCATGGTTTTAGCAGCACTTGGTGAGATATTAGTACCGCTATCCTCGTTTTCATCGTCGGAGTCAATGATACTAACCTCAAATTTGCATGATTGACACTTCCAATCATATGTTCCGGTTTTTTTGTAATCTATTGCAAGTTTTTTAAATAATTGATCATTAATTTGGGTGCACTTTTTATGAAACCATTTTTTACAGTTATTACAACCGATACTAGCACCATTTCCTTTAATTCATTTTTCACAATCAAAAAACACGTCTGTAGGCGACGCCATCTTGATTCTTAGTTTCTTATTATTATTATTGTTTGTATACATTACCGTAAATCATTGTCATATGATACCTAATTTTGCTATAATTGATAAATTATAGCCTTTGCTCGCACGAGTGAAGTCCGACAATATCGATCGCGAGCAAAGTTTATTAAATTTGGGAAAATGGCTAAAGAGGCCCTCGTGATCGAACACGAGGCCTCGAACGGTTTACGGTGACGTAGATTAAACAGACACGCGGTGGCCCGCTTGGTGTGAGGAAGACACGTGGGACCTCTGCTATTGTAAGGAGTGTGGATTTGGTGCCTTGGGTTGAGTTTCCTTTTTCGGTGAGTACTCACAAGTTGAGCCATTTTGTTATCCGTACACCGCTGTCTCCTGGCTTAGATAATTCATTTTTATTGTTTAATTAAATTCACTATCATTTAATCGGGTCGATCCCGTAGCGAGTAAGGGTTATTATAAAGGAATATTCGTACTTGTCCTGAAAGCCGCGTGTTAGGTCCTCGATACGGCCAGCAATTTTTAATTAAGACATTACGTCATAGTTCATTATTGCGATTATTATTTTTAGTTTGATTTAAGAATGACGTTAGTTATCAAAGCAGTTATTGCTTAGCGTTATTTACAATTATTAATGTTAAATATTTATTATTACTGCAAGTGCTATTTTCGAGCGCAGAACAAATGAATAGTACTAAGTTTTAATCATTATGATAATTATTGTTTTCATTGCGATTATTATTATTCTCGAACGCAATATTATAAATTAAGTTAAAGAAAAAGTTGTATGTATTAATCAGAATTCCATAAAGGATTTATTTTGTTACTTAGAAAGGATATTTAGTTTTAAGTAACAACGTTTATAAATAAATAATTTATTTTTATTAATATTCACCGATTTAATAATAATTTATTTTATATAAGTTAATTCCCGGAATCTTTTCCTGCAATTTACATTCCTATTTAATTAAATAATTTGA